CTTTATAGAAACAGACACCGGCATTGTAGGCTACTCTCACAGGAAACAGTCCTCAACCTCCGCAAAATGTGCATCACACATCTGAATATTTGGGTTGAACTGTTCTGGAACAGTGTTGTAAATACCACTTAACCACTGATTTCTAGTCGTGTCCTCTTTTGGAAGACCAAACAAAGTAGTTTCGCTTTCACAACGAAACACAGCATCTTCACGACATGGCGGCGGCGGCGGCAACAGCAACAATACTACACCGAGAATACGCCTTCTTTCTTTGCGTGAACATTTGGGCGGCGTTATGCAAATCTTCCCACATCGTGATGTAGACATGTGGGGGCGTGTTAGAACGAGCCGTTTTAGGTAGGAGTGGTTGACTCTTAACTTTTATAAAGAATATCTCTTTGGATTTGAGACTTTAGTCTTTGCAACTTTACAGATCTTCTTTATGCACCAAGAGCTTGTAACACTCCAAAGAGAAAGGAACAATTGAAATCGCATCATATGACCCCTTTAATAACAATTCTACTCATTCCCGCAGGTTCCGCTCTTATAACAAGATGACAGATGATTGAACGTATCATTTGCACGTGCTTGTGGGTCTTGAGAACTCACTCGCGCGCTCTCATTTTCTGTGCGGCCACAGATCGCGCGATAAGGAGTGACAACTTTTAATAGTTATTAAGGGAGTTTGCAAATGTGATATTGATTTAATACAACGGTTCAATAAACAAGTACTGCCGGATTTTGCTCTATTTCTTCAACAAAACTAGTTCCAAATATAGTAACCGCTCAGGGGCATCTCTGAATGAATTAAACAGCTGTGTTTGCTTTTAATGAAAGTGCGTTTTTGAACGAATCTAGTGAGTCAGTGATTCGTGATTACCCGTTCATAAAGACAGTCACTTGCTTCATTCTTGAATGAATCAGCCGTTCGAATGAATCAATTGAATGAATGATTCAGTGATAAAATTAGTGACTTGCCGCCACCTGCTGGCGGATTTAGTTTAAAAAATGTTTTTAATAATTTCAGTTATTTAAATAATTTAATATTTCTGTATTCAAAATTGTATATGTAAAACATTCATCTCCACATGAATGTATGAATTTAATTGCACTCACGCCACCTCTGAGTCCCATTAAACGTCTGAAAATGTACCTACAAGCCACTTTTTGTGTTCTTCTGTGCCACCTCTGTAGTACAAATGAAGTTTTTATTAATACAAATTTCATATGATTGGTAACTTATTTGTCTTATTCTACTTCTTATTATATTGTTTTAAATATTCATTTTAAAAAGCTTATAAACATTATTTTTTTTCGAATGAAAATGATGCCATTACAAAGGTAAAAAGAAAATACCCCTCTAAGTCAGGAGTCTAATGTCACCTTATATTAGGAAGGATAATTTTTGATTATTGATCAGAAAGTGCTCCTAAATTTTTTTAATTAGGAGGACAAGAGCTCCTAAAAAGAAAAGTAAGCATAGAGCCATGTGTAACAGTATATTAGATCCGTGCATGAGGTCTTAAAGAGACAGCAGCCTAAATAAACCTCCTGCTGCCTTTCATTATACAGTGAAGACTAACCAGTGTTATTTTAGTTGAATAGATTATAGTTAGACCTAACTGAAAAAATTTAAGTACTGTTAATTTAATTTGTATCTTGTTATTGTGTGTGCTATTGATTGTCATTATTTATTAGGTATCAGTAACATAATTCATTCAGAACCTGTTTTATGGACATAGACTTTCTGTACCACACTATTCTGCTGATAGGGAATGCGTTTGACTACTTAATCAGTTATATTAACAGACATGCTTCACTGGGGCAAACAAAAAAAAATCCTAAAATAATAAATAGGATACCCCATAGCAGCATTTCCAGCAATATCCAACATTTCTCAATCATGATCTTACATGACAGCCGTATTCCTTGTTTGCTAGCTACCTGTGCACATACAGCATACAATGTTAAACATTTTCTACATTTATGAACCTCAACCCAAAAACCTTTCGCTTCATACACTGTAGATAATTGTGACCCTGCTTGTGGAAATACAGCTAAAGTATTTTTTTTTTCAAACAGCGGATGAGTAATTCACTCCTTTATTTGCTTAATAAAAGCCTCCTTTGAGATCGTTTTGACAGACATGTTTATTGTGTATTATTTTCAATGTGTTTATTGCTTAGTTTAGTGTGGCAAAATAGAAGCGCAGCCGTAATTTGCGTGCAGTGTATCTGGTTGCCATGACAACCTCATGCGCTTCCTGATGCTGCTCTAATCAGATTGTGAATTTTAAGATTTTCTTTAGCAAAACTAAAATGTGTTTATAAGTGCGACTGACCAAATCGTCCGGTTCGGTTTGCCCCCCCTCGTACTTGATGACATCTCTAATTTGACAGTTTACCATCTGATCTCAATCAGTGACTCTAGGCTGCATAGGACGGGACGAAACCATGCAGTGAATGGGGGGAGATAATTTTGCTGGAAATGCAGAAATAAGCCGTAATTTTGTTTTATTTGTAAGTCTTTGGTAGATACATTTATCATTTCTATTACATTACTACTACTAATAAAACAGATTTCTGGGGGCCCCAAAAGTGCGTGGGCCCTTAGAATCGTCCTAACTTTCCCCCCCTTAGCAGCGCCCCTGGTGACAGGTATGGCTGAGGAAAAATTTTCAGTCAAATTTTTTTTTTTTGCTTTAACCCCTGATTCCAGCAGATTCGTCAATCTGCTGTAATCGGGGGTTAACATAAGGACGTAAAATAGCTCACATGCACGCGCACATCCCCAGTTAACACGATCCCCAGTTGATCCATAACACCGGAACAATCAAACAACTATCAGTAACAACCAAGTTAATGAAAACTTGATCATGAAAACATTTGTGATTTGCATGGGAGTCTAATTTATTAAATGTGATCTACAAATAATTAAATGCCAATCATGAACTTTAAATAAAAATTGTTCTTTTATTCATTTTTTATTCATTTGTAGTTCTAGTTGGTGTCTTTTTTTTTGTTCTTTTTTTTTTGGACTAATCGGGTAAATTAAGTCCATTAACTATCACTCTGACTGACTCTCTTACCAGTGCACTGACTACTGAACTAGGGAGCTGATTGAGACGCACCCAGAGATTTAGTTTGCATTTATTTTTCTCTCTGATAATTATTCTCATCAACAGGGCAAATTGTCCAAACACACAGAAAAACACCTGGTGAAGCAACTGACATCCACGATTAAAAAGATGTTGTTTATTAAAGTAGAGAGTGAAGAAATGAAGATTGAAGAAACAATCAGAGTGAAACAGGAAGATACCGAGGAACAAACAGGTTGGTTTTCATTCTCAATGCTAAACTCAGTCATTTGATCCTTATTAAAATCTCCAGCTCTACAGAAATTAAGGATATTTTTGAAGAATGACAATGGTTACTAAAGTGGTTTTATTTGACATGGAGCGGGTCGCCTCATGTGGACAGATATGTTGAGATCACATGACCAGATAAACTGCTGTCTACATTTGCTCAATGTGACTGGTACATTTTACCAGTTTATATCATATTTGTTTAAAGGTCCCCTGAAGTGCCTTGGAACACGCAGCATTATTCTATGTGGTGACGTAATTTCAACTGAAACAGGAAGAGAGGGTGGGACATATCGAGCAGCCCCGCCCCCTTTTTTAAAATAGCCAATAGTGTTTTGTTTATATCTGCTCGGGCAGAGCCATTGAGCTCGGTAAAGCTGCATTTGACAGCCACAGTCTAATAGACTACCCCCTAGATTCAGTATGAAACTCTTAGTAAAACAAAATAGCAGTCATAATCATGCTGAGGCTGTGTAGTTGTATAAGTTAATATATGCCGACTCGCGCATATGAGCCGCTCCGTGCGATCGCGTCTCTGGACTGGAGCCAAAGGCCGGATCAGACTGTGTGCGCTGGCGTGGTTTGCGTGAAACAACGTGAAACCAGACCTCATTTGCACCAATAGAAAGCATGTTTACACTGTCAGAATCATTCCCTATCGCCTACATTGTGCACTACGAGCCATTTACTGTACAGGAAATACTACACTGTGAACAAGTGACCGATCTCGGCCGCTTCAGCACTTATTTATAGTACAGGGGGCGGGCGCTTTGGATTCTAGAGAGCATTTGATTGGTCAGAAGATTTGATGAGAAGATGAAGTACGATGTGACGTCAAAAACAATCGTTAAGCCGTTTTGGCGGAAGTGACAAACTGCAAGATTTGAATGCTTATATCTTATAAATGCGAGTTTTGTCACTGTTTTGGAGCACACTGCATTTTAGATAACCTTAAGACTAACATATTGATACTAACACCCAAAAAACTTTAATTTTAAAGGCTTGGACGTTCACAGAGGACAACAGTGATGGATGATCTGAGAATCCTCTCCATGGTAAAGAAAAACCCTTTCACAACATCCAGCCAAGTGAAGGACACTCTCTAGGAGGTACGTGCCACTGTGAAAGTCTACAATCAAGAGAAGACTTCACCAGAGCAAATACAGAGGGTTCACCACAAGGTGCAAACAAAGCCAGATTAGACTTTGCCAAAAAACATTAAAAAAGCCGGACCACTTCTGGAAAAGCTTTCTTTGGAATTAAGATCAACCTGTACCAGAATAACGGGAAGAAAAAAGTATGGAAAAGGTCATGATCCAAAGTTTCATCCATTTCATCATCTGTGAAACATGGTGGAGCAGTGTGATGGTATGAGCATGCATGGCTTCCAGTGGCACTGTGTTACTGGTGTTTAGTGATGTGACAGAGGACAGAAGCAGCTGGAAGAATTCTGAAGTGTATAGGGATATACTCTCTGCCCAGATTCAGCCAAATGCAGCAAATTTGATTGGACGGCGCTTCATAGTACAAGTGGACAATGACCCAAATCATACAGCAAAAGCAACACCGAAGTTTTTGATGGAAAGAAAGTGGAATATTCTGCAATGGCCAAGTCAGTCTCCTGATTTCAACCCGATTGAGCATGCATTTCACTTGCTGAAGACAAAACTAAAGGCAGAAAGACCCACAAACAAACAACAACTGAAGGACTCGCAAAGCATCACAAAGGAGGAAACCCAGTCTCTGGTGATGTCCATGAGTTCCAGACTTAAGGCAGTCGTTTCCTGCAAAGGATTTTCAATATTAAATTTTTTTTATTTATGATTATATTTATTTGTCCAATTACATTTGAGTCCCTGAAAATGGAGTGACCGTGTATAAAAATGTTTGTAATTAGGTTGTAATTCCTAAGCATTTGTTATATTCCTGTTCAACCCCTTGAATTAAAGCTTAAAGTCTGCACTTCAATGTCATCTTGATTGTTTTATTTTTAATTCTGTTCAAAACCCCTACAGCGTCACCCTACAGAAGAGAGGGGTATGGTGAGCAGAGCTCATTAGCATTTAAAGGGACATGCACTGAAACAGCTTGCTGTGAGCAGAGCTGTTTTTGACAAGGTAAAAAGGTTGTTGTTTTACACTACCATTAAAAAATTACCAAAAGTATGTTATAGACTTTTCATTAAGACCCTAAAGAATGTTCTTCATGTTTTGTCCATTTTCACCACTGCTAAAGAAACTCCTAAAGGGTTAGTTCACCCTAAAATGAAAATTAGCCCATAAATTACTCACCCTCAAGTCATCCTAGGTGTATATGACTTTCTTCTTTCAGACGAATCCAGTCAGAGTTATATTAAAGGGGTCATGTGATGCTGCTAAAAAACATTATTTTGTGTATTTGGTGTAATGAAATGTGTTTATGCGGTTTAAAGTTAAAAAAAAAAACATTATTTTCCACATACTGTACATTATTGTGTCTCCTCTATGCCCCGCCTTTTTGAAACGCGTCGATTTTTACAAAGTACCTCAAGCGTGAGACGGAAATGTTATGCCCCTCACCATACTGTTGACGCCGTGTCCCGGCCGGAGCGACGAGACAAAAACATTAAAACCCATTACAAACGAGGCATTTGTTGCATCCAGTGGAGTCATAATTACTGATTATAATGACTTATACTGTCTTTTTACGTGTTGCGTTGCATTGTATCGCGCCGCGTAAACATAAAACTCTGTCTGCATTTGTGATCAGAGAAATGACAAACAACAAGTGCTACTCTACACTGCCCAAAACTTGCGTTTGAATCATCTGTGGCAAATCCTTCAAATGAAAACGTACTTACAGACTGTGAGTCAGAACTGCTGGCATTTTAGTCTAACCTTACTCTCCCAGGATCAGTAAATAGTCCTCCATAAAATGTGCCGCACACATCTGGATATTTGGGTTAAACTGTTCTGGAACAGTGTTGTAAATATAACTTAACCACTGATTTGTAGTCGTGTCCTCTTGCGCCCCCCCGCGGGGGGGGGGGGGGGGGGGGGGGGTGAACAAATGCCTCCTGTAGCGAATCGATGCGTTTTTGTAAGAAAAATATCCATATTCAAAACGTGATAATCACTTTAATGTAGCTTGCGCCAGCAGTTGTACACTGGAAGCAGTTCCGGGGGAATGACGTATGAGGTCAGTGTTTTGCGCATGCGCCAGTGAGTCTCGTGAAAACCAACGTTTGTTAACAGGATCAAAGGAAGCAAAGTTTCCTAACTTTAGCAAAGGAAAACCAGTCTCCTCTTGGCTTATATTGAAATCCTCCGACATTCTTCTTTACAAATCCTCGTTTTGTACTTCTAATTAGTGACCGTTGTTTTGTTTTGATCTCTCCCTTGCGCTTCCGCGTGCGTCACTTCTGAGCGGCGCTTGCGCAAAGCCGACCTCATACATCATCCACTGCTGTCACTACTGTCGAGCTAAGTGGCCGTGGTTTCAACAACCAGGCACCTCAGCTTCACCCACGTCCCACCTTTTTGCCCATTTTCGATTATCTGGGAGTGATGCGCTGCCAAGATGGTGGCGGTCGGCTCCGTCCACTTGTAGGCTTCAAAAATGCTCTTCAGAAACGTGACGGACATGGTTTTTTACAGTCCGTTTCTACCACTGCACTGGCCCACTCTTTCAATTCTGGGGCTTTCACTGTCTTCCAGTGTCCCAAAATAATCCTACTTGCCATTGTAATACATACCATAATATGTAATACACACCATAATACCAGAAAATGCATGCTTTGAAAGATTATGTATTTGAGACTTGTCACCTAACAGCTTAAGGGTTAAGATATTTTAGGGTGCTTTCACACTAGCACTTTTGGTGCGCACCCGGGTTTGATTGACGTCAGAGTTCAGTACGTTTGGATGATGTAAACCCGGTCTTCCGAACTCGAGTGCGCACCCGCGAACAGTACCCGAGTCCGCATAAAAGGGGTGGTCTGGGGTACGGTTCAAGTGAACTCAGGTACGATTCACTGCTGATGTGAACGCAATCGTACCAAATCGTGGAAGTGAACCGCTATTAATTATGTATTATTTGATAAAAATGCGTGTTTGTGTGCGTTTCACTCACTTTCCTGATGAGCGTAACTGACGCGCTGCAAGCAGAGAGCGGTATATCTCATTTCTGTTTGCCTTCAGCGTTTTTAGAGTGCTTGCTGTACATTCATAAGACAGATGTAAGTGCCGTTATGTACTGACGTTTTAGAAACAAAAGCAACGGTTCAAAAACATAAATATAAAATTGAAGAGTGCTATGCTATGCATTTTGCTGCCTTCTCCTGCGCAGTCGTTACTAAGCAACGGGATAAGCAGCTGCTGGCTTGATGACACAAACGAACTGTGGTACGGACCCAAATAATATAATGTGAACACAGTCCAGCAGGGGGAGGGGGGAGCAATTGAACTCTGGTTCGGACCAAGCAATCGAACCAAGTGTGAAAGCTCCCTTAGAGTCATATCACCAACTTGAGACATCCATAACTCGTTTCCAGAATGGTTTAACAAGACTACATTCCCAAATACAATGTAAAATGGTACCTGATACCAGCTGGCATTTCCAACATAAATTGTCTTTCATCAGTTTAATCCTGTAAAGTCTTACCAGGATGTTGTAGTATCTGGGAAGAATCTTATATTGAGTGAACTTCCCCCTTGCTTCTTTTATACATTTACCACACCCCAACAAAATGCTAGACTGTTTTTCTGAGTAAATTTTTTCACCAATGTCCCTCTGCCATATGACCTTGATGCATTACATATCTAAATGTTTTGATATCTGTTGTCTTGTGCCTTTTAAACTTTTTTTTGTTTTTTTCACCTTTGACCTTATAGCACCAAAAGAGGAGAAAGTAGTACTTCATGAAAATGAAGAGGAAGACAAATGTGAGAATCTTCATGATTTCAAAACCGGAGAAAAACCTTGCTCTCCAATCAAAAAGACTTCCACACGAAAAAAAGCTCAAGAGACAGAAACTAGAAGTTTCACTTGCTTTCAGTTTGAAAAGAGTTTCAATCAACAAGGAAACTCTAGAGGCCACATGAGAATTCACTCTGAAAAGAAGACTTTCACCTGCGAACAGTGTGGAAAAAGTTTCAATCAAAAAGGAAATTTTAACAAGCACATGAGAGTTCACACTGGAGAGAAGCCTTACACATGCCCTCAGTGTGGACACCGTTTTGCTCAAAAAGTACACCTTACTGCTCACCTGAGACTTCACACTGGAGAGAACCTTTACACATGCTCTCAGTGTGGAAAGAGATATGCTCAACGAGGAAACCTTAAAGTCCACATGAGAATTCACACTGGGGAGAGCCCTTTTCCCTGCCAACACTGTGAAAAAAGTTTCACTCGTAAAGAAAGTCTTGACAAGCACATAAGAATTCACACTGGAGAAAAGCCTTTCATATGCCCTCAGTGTGGAAAAAGTTTCACTCTAAAAGAAAACTTCACCAGGCATGTGAGAACTCACACTGGAGAGAAGCCTTACACATGCCAGCACTGTGGAGAGAGTTTTTCTCAACAAGGAAACCTTAATATTCACATGAGAATTCACACCGGAGAGAATCCTTACATATGTTCTCAGTGTGGAAAAAGTTTCAGTCAACATGGAAACCTTAAAATCCACATGAGAATACACAATGGAGAGAGGCCTTTTTCCTGCCAGCTGTGTGGAAAACGCTTCACACGTAAAATAGGTTTTAAAAGGCACATGAGAATTCACACTGGAGAAAAGCCCTACACATGCCCTCAGTGTGGAAAAGGTTTCATTCAACATGGAAACCTTACAGTCCACATGAGAATACACAATGGAGAGAGTCCCTTCATGTGCCAGGAGTGTGGACAAAGATTCAATCATAAAATAAGCCTTAATCGACACATGAGAACTCACACTGGAGAGAAGCCTTAGACATACCATAAGTGTGGAGAGAGTTTTGCTCAACATGGAAACCATGAAAACTCTTTCAACCTGCCAACAGTGTAAAAAAAATTTCGACTGAAAAGGAAACCTTAAGTAACACATGGCAATTCCCTCGAGAGGGAACCATTTTAAATGTTATCAATGTGGATTTTTTTCTCAGCTCTATAGAAATAAAGGTGACTTGACTTGTCAGGGGATAAATAGTAAAATAGTAAATAGTAATCTGATGTCATCAAAAGTGAAAAAAAAGTGACATGACATGTGACCCATACTAGGAATTAGTGCTCTGCATTTATCCCATCCAAAGTGCACACACACAGAGCAGTGAACACACACACGGAGCAGTGGGCAGCCATTTTTTTGTTGCGGTGCACAGGGAGCAGTTGGGGGTTCGGTGCCTTGCTCAAGGGCACCTCAGTCGTGGTATTGAAGATGGGAGAGAGCGCTGTACATTCACTCCCCCACCTACAATCGCTGCCGGTACGAGACTCAAACCCACAACCTTTGGGTTACAAGTCCGACTCTCTAACCATTAGGCCACGACTTCCCCGCATAATTGAATTGTCAACACTGACAATTCAAATAACCTCCTGTTGTCAATATAAGGTTATCAAAAGTACCAACAGAGGTACCAAGTATTTACTGAATTTTCGCATAAGATTTTGAGCACTGTTGAGTGAATTCTTAAACACCTCTGACTGGCCATTGTGTTCACGTGCTCAACAGATATGTCTGTGATTGGCTACAATGATTATTGCTTCAAAAACACATAAATATCATAGACTGTATAAAAACATAGATGTAGTGTCCGTGACTTCACCCGTAGTTTTGTGAAGAGCATTTTTGAAACTCAAAGTGGGCGGAGCCGGCCATCACGTCACTCCCGCATAATCAAAAATGGGCAAAAAGGCAGGATGTGGGTGGAGCTGCGGGTGCCTGGTTGCTGAAACCACGCCCGCCTAGCTCGACAAGCAGGCAATCCACCTGTCACTCAAATGGCCACGCCCTTAATTATGCAGAACTTTAAGGCTTAATAAAATAATAAAAAAATGTAAACGGATGAGTTCTAAAAAAATTCACCCCCCTCACAGTTGTCATGAAGGGCAAAATTAGCTATACAGACCAAAACCACTTTTTGTACCAGGCTGTAAAAAAAATGTTCTGCTGTAAAGTTGGGCATTTTAACATGGGGAGTCTATGGGATTGATTCCCTTTTGGAGCCAGTCTCTAGTGGCCAGTCGATGAATTGCAGTTTAAGTCACTTCCCTGTTGGTTTCAAGAGAGAGACCGGAAGGTTGCCGCTTGATAAATACACATCTTTTACGCTCTTCACTGAGCGCTTACACAGATGCACATGGAAGTGTTTGAAACCAGGCATCGATCAGCAGATCCGTCTATGAGCAGATATATATGTTATTCAGCCTAACATGAATTTTTCAAATTTTAACGCCGTTAATGCACTGGCTCCGCCCCCAGACCTGTACGTCATCTTACATTTCATACAGTGACTGTTGACAAATATGATGCAGTTATGCCCTAAAATTCAAGTTATTGGGGCAAAAAATGCTCCTGTTTTAGTTTTTGTTTCATATTTATATCACACAGCGAGAGCAATATCACACGATGCTGTTTGTCCCGAATATAACAAGAGCAATTGTGCTCAGTTTTGCCAACAAAAATATTACCTATAAAGCCACAGCAGAACTGTTGTGCGTCTCTGAGCAACACAGCGGTGTTTAGTTTCTGAATGAATCCGCGTTTTGAGGCCCATTCATAAAGTGAGCCAATTACTTAATTGCTGAATAAATCAGCCGTTTGAACGAATCGAATGAAAGACGTTTAACTGCCACCTGCTGGCAGTTTTAGTTTCTTATTTAGAATATTATTTCATTAAAATAAAACAAGGGGAAAAAAGGGATAGTTCACCCCAAAAATTTTAATCATGTCATCATTTACTCAAACCTGAATGACTTACTTTCTTTTGTGGAACATAAAGGAAGGTATTTTGAAGACTGTTGGTAACAAAGCTGTTTTGGTTACCAATGACTTCCACTGCATGAACAAAAAAAAACTTGAGATGTTTCTCAAATTATCTTCATTATGTTCCATAGTTTATGTTGGGCTGTTGTAGCCTAAACATTTATGTGTAATACATTTGAATCAAAATAAAATATTTATTTCTAAAGCTACTATTTGTAGGGGTGTAACGGTACGTGTTTTCGTACCGAACGGTTCACGGGGTAAATTCCAAATGGAAGTGATCATCCCTATGCCCTACTCCCTTCGAAGAGCAGAGCCCTTGGAGTGGAGACTTTGGAGTGCACAGGGCACGTGCGTGCCATTATGTAGTCGTTTGGAATGCACTTGGCAAAGTGCATTCAGCTGGCATGCTAACAACAATAAAAAAGCATTTATGCCATTAAACCAGCGACATCTGCTGACGGACACCGTGCTGCATTGTCACGGGAACATGCCAGCTGAAGATAACGAGGAATTTACATCGCTCCCTTTGCCAAGTGCATTCCAAACGACTACATAATGGCACGCACGTGCCCTGCTCACTCCAAAGTCTCCACTCCAAGGGCTCTGCCCTTCGAAGGGAGTAGGGCAGTAGTTCTCAAACCTCTCCATGAAGTACCCCCAGCACTGCACATTTTGTATGTCTCCCTGTATCTGACACACCCACTTCAGGTCTTGCAGTCTCCACTAATGAGCTGATGAGTTGAATCAGGTGTGATAGATGAGGGAGACATACAAAATGTGCAGGGCTGGGGGTACTCCAGGACAGGTTTGAGAACCACTAGAGTAGGGCATTGGGACGATCACTTCCATTTGGAATTTACTCCGTGAACTGCTTGGTACGAAAACACGTACTGTTACACCCCTAACTATTTGTAATGTCTACTTAATACTTTCTCATTTAAGATAAAAATATCATTAAATAATCTTTTGGGGGTATTTTCACAGCCAAATGTAATTTGCGATTAATTAGATTAATTGACACAATGTAATTAATTAGATTTAAAAAATGTAATCGACTGACAGCCCTAATCAATATACATATGTATGTATATGTGTGTGTGTATTAGGGGTGTAACGGTACACAAACATGTTAATTATATTGTGAAATAACTGCTATTTTGATTCTCAAATAAGTGCAAGTAAATGTATTTGGCAGGTTAAACACCTTTATAATAACCATGTTAGTTGATCTACACCGGGTGATAGGCGCCGCCATGTTAGTTCGTGCTGAATCTGAGCTGTGGGATTTACAACATTCATGTTTATTTCCCGTTAAAACTAGTAGTGAAGGGATGATCTGTTTGAACTGAGGCGTTTAAACAGCGATTTGTCACACCACATCAAAGAGCGCCAAAATGGCATTTATTGTTCAAATTTCCTGGGAAAAATTGCACATAATTTGAAAGATGAGACAGTGTCATCCATTCGTGCAGTGATTAAAACATTGCAGTATTTGTTCGGTATACGTGCGTACCGAACCGAAAGACCCACATGTACTGTTACACCCTTAATAAATATATATATGCACATTTCCCGCTAGTCCTGTGTAAACTACAGCACGCAAGTTTTTTTATTTTATTTATTTTTTATATCGTGAGATGGCGGAGCAAAAGAGAACAACGCAGTCTGAAGTAGCTGCTCATTTAAATGATCTTGCTCGTCTCAATCTGCTCAGTCTTGGTGATATCAGTGCCCTAAATGATGTTATAATGGACTCAGTGTTGCCAACTAGTTTTCAGAGAAAGTTGCTAAAGGAAGGTCGATTTGGTCGGACGTTGTGATGTCGTTGCTCAATGACGTCATTACGTAATCACGACGCAAAATTGTCACATCATCAAACCTCAGCAAAAAATATATTTTATATGTTAATTTAGATTTGTTTTTAAAATAATATGCATGATATATTAAAATATAAATAACTGTATTTTTAAATACATTGAATTACTGAAAACGTACACATTTTAAAATGATTACAATTTAAGTTTTTTTAGTAGCTAGTAAACTCTACACATTCTCAGCAATTATGCTTTAAGCAGTGTAATAGTAGTTAGTTAGTATGCTACACTCTAAGAAAAGTCTGTAAAAATAAGGCACAATCTACTGTTAATATGAAAGAATTGTACGTAATGGTTTTTTTTTTACCTGTATTTTAAATTACGCATTGTGTTTTCGGGTTACAAAGGATGATGGATAATGTCCTGAAAGATTTTCCATTTTTCTTACAGTGTACTAACTGATCAACAATCGCAGGTACAAGTTACTAACAAAGTGTATCATAAATGAACAATTATCAAATTATTCAATCATTATTATTATTAAATTGAACAATTGCAAATAGCAGCTAACTCAATTCACGTGATGTGAGTACTGCTAGGCATCTGTGGTTTCCTCTTTTTGTGTCATTTGGATGGACAATGTGTGCCTTCTTATTGTCTGAGTCCTTATCAAAAGTTGCCAAATAAATTTTTAAAATTGCTAAATTTGTTGCTAGGTGCTTTTGGAAGAATAAGTTACTAGGGTAGTCTGAAAAGTTGCTAAATTTAGCAACAAAATTGCTAAGTTGGCAACACTGAATGGACTACTTCACATCCAGAGATGAAGGATCGGATGACGTTACTAAAGAGGAGGAGTCTGATGACAGTCTGTTATATGCACAGGTGTGTGAACAGTTGCTCTGCGCTCGCTTTTCTAAATGTAAACTACAAGGTACACTATTTGTGCTATCTAAACATACCAACTATGCTCATGATAAACAACTGAAAACTGTCCTCTTCAGGGTAATGTTAGTCTGTTTGTGTAATGATGCAGTACAGCGCTCCTGACAGACAGCTCTCGTTCTTAAAGGGCCCCCAACACTATTTTCATATCGCTATGCATTACTTTCATTTAGTTCAAATGGTGACGACATTAATTAAAACTACAAGTCTAGAACACAAAACTACAAGTTACAACCCCGAACTGTGTCTAGTTATGGATTAAGTCCAGCAATAAATCCAGGAGTAGAACCGGAGAAGAATTGGAGCCTGCACGCTGTAATCTGTGATGTTTTATGAACCGATATATACACTTAAAGTTAAAATGTTTGCAAGTGTTCTGTGTTCCTTGGGGTCATTTTGTATCATGTACAGTGACTAAAATAAGTTTTTGTTTTACCACAGTAAAGTG